CAAATACAAAATTATTTGATGTCTTGATGCTACCAAAAGACAATTTCTTAGTAAAGATGAAGTTCTACAGTATGAAAGAGAGCATGTAAGCTAGGGAATAAGTACTTGAGCCAATGATCATGCTAGACAAGCTTTCTTTTTTCTTTTCTTCTTTTTTTTTTTTTTTTTTTGACAGAGTGTCACTCTGTTGTCCCGGCTAGAATGCCATGGCATCAGCCTAGCTCACAGCAACCTCAAACTCCTGGGCTCAAGCGATCCTCCTGCCTCAGCCTCCCAAGTAGCTGGGATTACAGGCATGTGCCACCACGCCAGGCTAATTTTTTCTATATATTTTTAGTTGGCCAGTTAATTTCTTTCTATTTTTAGTAGATGTGGTCTCACTCTTGCTCAGGCTGGTTTTAAACTCCTGACCTTGAGCTATCCTCCTGCCTCAGCCTCCCAGAGTACTAGAATTATATGTGTGAGCCACCACGCCCAACCAACATGCCCTTCTGACTAAAGTCCTTATGCTAGTACCTCTTATTGAACATAAAGACAAATCCATGGAAAAGTTCAACAATTTCATCCTTGATTAATTATTGATTTGTTTTATCAATGAGGATTAGATATATCAAAGTCATAAGGGCTTCCTCCTGGAAGCAAATGCTCTCAAAGAACTTGCTCTAGCAGTCCAGAGACAGCTCATTGCAGGAGGGACATATGGCTGCCATCTTAAACTAACATTTGGTGGGGAACTTTTCTAGGACAGAGGGGAATGTAGCCACTTCATGTCTTTTTGGAACCAAGAATACTCCATTAAAATGGTAAAAATGGGATATGAACTGGAATACTGTCTTCAGGAAACATTGGTGTATCTTCAAAAGGATTATACATAATCATAATCCCTGTGTCTGTTATGAGTATTCATTGGTAATAGTCTTTTTATTTTCTACATGGGTTGAAGGGCTCTCCTGTTAGAAAGACACAGCAACTCACAGTAGCTAAAAGCAATTTCATTTTGTGTTCCCTACCTGTGATATTTCAAATTATCTACACATAGGAGAACATATATTTTGGGGACAGTTATATCAGGTTTTGCCCTCACTCGGGAACTTCACGTTTTTATCATCTCCTGATTCTATGAAAATGTGAAAACAACAGATGGGATATTAAAACTGAGATTAATTACTATGTCAGACATCTTTGAATTCCCATGGCCTAATGGGTTATTACCCTTAGTTGTCATGGCCCTACAGTATTCCCCCTCACAAAGTCATGTGTTGTGTCACTGTGAACTGGTCACTAGTAGGTCCATATTACTCAGAATGTCCTGAACCATACATATTCCATTCTTTTAAAAACTTAACTAGATAAATAAACCTGTAATAATCAGTTCTTTCATCAACAGGACCAGGTTGGGTTTCCTGGTCTTTTATTTAATCAGTCTTCACATGACCTAAATTTGGGTGACTTCTGAGAAAAATTCCAGAGAACGACTGCCTTTTAACCTCATAGGCCTTCGTAGGTACTATTTATTACCAGTTCAGGAGACAAAGCACAAGGGGTTCATCTGTGTTTACTTTTACTGATTAGTATGACATCATCCATCTTTAAATGGCAATAATTGAAAAGTTACTCATGTTAAAGATCTTAAACTGAGATTCTCTTGAGAATCTTCTGAAGCAGGCATCCACAGAAGATGACTGCTAATATCCTTAAAACAGAATAGCTTCATAAACTAGACAGCTCCATCCAAGTCTAATGGAACAGAATTCTTTGGATGATTCAACTACTGATTGTCATTCTCTCCTTTGAATTTTTTCTTCCTTTAGTTGTATTTTCTCATTTTAATTGTAGAACATTATATATTTCTAATTTAACCCATTTTGTTCTTTTGCTAACAAAGCAATTTGCTTAGATATAGGCTTTACTTAAAGCGATAATCACCCTAATGTTATAATTCAGCTCTACAAAGCAAAAGCTAGTGCAATAAACTTGAAGAATTGTGTGAAAACCTAAATAGTAACCATACTCAAGGATGGCTAAAGTGAATTTTGATCAATCAAATTAGCCTTAAAATGTTACAAAAAATCTATTGATAAACATTTAGGATAGAATTGGTACAACGGAAAACCCTCAACTGAACCTCTCCATTATCAATTTCAGAGGGTTTCTTTTGGAGAACTATAAATCAAATCTCCAAAGATATTCAAACACTGGAAATCATGAGTTATTCCTATGAAATGACTTATGAGTATAAAACATGCTGATGTGGAAAAACCAGTGCATGGTGGCAGAGATGGAGATTAAGAATGTACTTCCTCTAATCATTACTCACATTTCACACAAGTTTACATATTGTATAGTTCCATTCATATGACATTCGGAAAAAAATAACAAAGCAGAGCAAGAGGTGGGGATGGGAAGGGTATGATTGTGAAAGGATACCACAAGAGAGTTTTGGGGTGATGAAACTATAGTGCATGTTTGAGTGATGGTTATATGAACCTATAAAATGTATTAAAATTCAAAATTCACGGACTGAACTACACACCAAAAAGTGTTCATTTTTCTACATGGTACTTTTTAAATAAAAATAAAAACACTGAGAAAATAAAATAAAAACAATTGATGTTACATCTGTTTTTCTGTCTAGACTCTGCCTAATGCATACATCATTTTCTCAATGTGGAAAAGAAAAGCACCAGCTAAGCCAACTGTGGTAGGCAAAATAATGTCTACAAAAAAAAAAAAAAAAAAAAAAAAACTGGATTCTAATACCTGGAATCTGTTAATGTTAACTTTTATGGCCAAAAAAAAAAAAAAAGACTTTGTAGATATGATTAAGAGAAGGATTCTAAAATGGGAGGCAGAGGGAGACACCACAACAGAAGAGAAGCCAATGGGACCACAGAGGTAGAAATCAGTGAGGGTCCACAAGCCAGGAAATGCTGGCAGCCATCAGAGTTGGAAGAAGCAAAGAACAAATGCTCTCCTACAGCCTCAGAAAGGGGCCCTACTGATACCTTGATTTCAGTTTAGTGAAACTTATTGCAAAAATATTTCTGTTGTTTTAAACCAGAAAATTGTACACAGGCAATAAAAGAAAATACACCAACCTTGGTATATTTGTTTCACATGCTTTATTTAGTTTTATTGATCTATTTGTTTCATTCGATGCCAACCTCAGAAGGTGGCTTTACAGTAAATTTTATTACCTGTTAAGGTTTAAAGTTTAAAAGTGTCTGGATCCGAGATAACAGTGTACTAGCTCTGCAGACTCTGGCTAAAGAATTATTTTTCCTTCCATTGGAAAATTGCCATCTATGTAAGATACAGCAATTAAACCAATAGCAATTACACACACTCTCTTTTAACCAAGAAAATAAACCTTGACTTTCACTCATTCCATTTTTAGTTTTAGAGAAAATGAGCCAATCAAGAGGCAACTTGCTTCTACTGGACAGGAGCTAGTGGTATAGAAACACAAATAATAAAAGCCAGTTGAGGTACTGGGCCACAATACTGACCATTGTTGTTCAACTATTTTAACCTTAATTTAATCCAATGAGTTTCCCTATAAGAATAAGCCACTTAGCTAATAACTAACAACCATAACTCAGCTAAGAGGAATCATTCTCACTATACAAACTGCCAATTATATCCACCCATAGGAACAATACAAGGGATCTTCAAATTAACCTACCCTTGACCAGAGGTGGGAGAATTAAGGCATTAACAATTTATGCGACATCTTTATTTCCATTGATTTATCTACAACACTAGAACATATGACTTTAAAAAGAAACTTGTACTAATGTTTAATTCAGTCAAAATAAGAAAGTGAGGCAGGGATATTTGTGGCAAGCTATTTAAATTACCCATTAGTCCAAATGCATCCTGTAATCCACTATTAAAAATTGTGTAATGTAGCTAAAAATCATATATGAAAAACTTCCTCGCATACCCCAAAAAGAAAGATAAAGGCACCCATTGAAATTAAATGTCTGGGAATAAATTTAACTATCTTAAAACAATAAAACTTTATGGAGAAAGAAAAGAATAGATAAACAGAATGAAATAAAACATTCTTGAATAATGATGTGATCAAATATAGTTTTTAAAGAGTTTTACTCTTCACAAATCAATTTATAAATTTAATTCAACCACAAAGTCTAAATTAACATTTTTAATATAGCATAATTCACATTTTTCTTCTTTCTTTAGAAAACATCTACATATTATTCACTATGTGAAAAAGCTTGTGCTAGGTTCTACAGATCCAGCAGTGATTAAAACTCACAAGTCCCCCCTCTTAACTCTATGAGAGAGTAAATAGGAACAGATAGTAATCGTATTTTGAAAAAGAAGAATAGATTGATGAGTCTAATCTGAAACTCACATTCTAAAATCATTTTCTATCTTGATTTCCCTCATACAAACTGTATCTATCCTAAATAGACTCTAAAGGAAAACCCAAGCCAATTTTCTCAACAATAAACACCAGATAAAAAGGGCTGTAAAATTTTACAACCAGTATAGAGAGTCGGAAAATAAAAATCACTGTGACTTATGGAAATCTCTCATGAAGTTATTAAACAGCATGTGTTTGAGAAGATTCAATGAACTAAGAGATGCTCAATTCAGGATATAACATTCAGTAAAAAATCATGATCATAATAAGAAGAAGAACCTATGAAGAATTAACCACACTTTAGCAAAAACTTATCTGGGCACAGAAGTATCAATTTAATATTTTTCATATATGGCATGTAATGTACAATCAGAAAACAGTAAAAAAAAAAAAAGCAATTTTTGAAAGGTAAGAGTTAAAATCCATCTGTAGTAGGGATTGTGATATTGATACTGAGAGGATATTTACAGGAGAGAAATCTAAATAGCGAAGGTAAATAAGGAGCTTCCTGATTGCTGAACACAGGGAGGGTGGCAGGGCCTGAGACGGCAATAAGAGTTCTGTGCCTCTTACCCCATACCTTGCCCTACACATCTCCTCATCTTACTGTTCATTTTACATGATGTGAATTGATGGCCTATGCCAAAGGAAAGGGAGTGTGGCTTCAGCTACAGCCTCAGGTTTGGGTATAGGTTACAGGTGCCTGGGAAGCAATGTGCACTCTCTGCACAGAAGTAGACAGCTGAGTCTCCAGGTTGGGTGCCGGCAATGTGCAGGGAGAGATGTTTGGCCGTCTTATTCAATAAAACAGTGAATCTTTGATCTTCCTTTTCGTCCCTATTTGAACGAATATCTATGATGAATTGAGGACCTTTTCCAAGCTCTTGCTTATACCAAGGGAAGTAGTCTGAGTTACTGTTTGAATAAGAACAGTTGATAACAGAGGTGTCTCCTTCCTGGACACTCAGGGTAGGAGAGTGCAGCCCCACATTCTCTCCTCCTCTTACACCTGTTCACAAGGAAAAAGAGAAATGAGAAGGATTATCAGTTAATTATTCCCTAGAATTCTATTTTTCTGCAGTAACTAAAGGAAGCCCAAGTAAAACAAGTTTTATCCTGGACATCTAAAACACATCCACTAATATACTCATTTTCCCCAAATCCTTCAACTCACAGTCAAGCTGCAGCCACAAGAACATAAATAGAACTTGAATAGATGTCATCATTATTCTTCCTAATTAGCAGCAGTCACAGACCTGCAATCTCCAGCCACAAGAGCTACTTGTATCACCTGGTTGTCCCTTCCTTTCTCCAGCACTCATAGTGGTTTCTCACAGTGTCTACTCAGCCAATAAGAAAAAGGCTCTGCTTCTGTCATAGGCCTATTCATTCAGAATTCACTAAAAGGAACCCTCTGCGTATTCTGCATCTACAGAGGTGCACCACCATCTTGTGGTCACATCCCTAACTACTGAATTCGCTGAGTAAATGTTCTTCTCTTACACTATGCAGGACTCAGATGCATAAAAGCAGCAATAAGTGAAACAAATTAGGTTTTAGATCAGAGATTAAATGCATAATAAGAATATAGAGATCAAGATTTATATATATATATATATACATATATATATATGCACACTACTAAGTAATTACTAATAAATTAGAAAGAGGTAGATGCTGTTGGTGTTTATTCAATGATGAACCAATTTTATATGTTTGAAATCAGGAAAGCACAATGATTCAAAGAAAAAATTACTTTCCTTTTCAGCCAAATCTACCATCATGATTTGTCTGTTATTCCGAAACATTTTTTCCAAAAGGAACACGTCAGCCAAAGATCACAGTAACAGAGAGAAGACTACTCTATGTCAAGTGCCTCTGATCTCAGGTTCTGCTCTGTCAAGCCTAGTCTTGCCCAGGGCCTTGCTATTCCAGAGAATTGGCAATACTGAAAATCAAAACATGGAATCTCTCTTCAGTAAAGATGACTCTGATAAAAAGAAAGGAATTAAATCACAATGATGAAGACACAAGGAGATAAGCTCCATGAGTTATTAATACTCCAAACATAGAAAAGTGTGAGCCATAGATTGTTGGTTTGCAATAAGAAATCTGACATGCTTTAACACATCTCTTCCTTTGGCTATGTGGCTTGCATTCTGCAAAATGCTGAAAGAGAAAAGAGAAATTCTCAGAAAACATTGGAATGCAGATTTAAAAATGTAATTACACGCAAGCTTATTATTGAGGTGCTTGTATCTTCTGAAATCATAATGGATAATATCAATATGGCATGTCCTAAATACAATGACTGATATATCTCCAGTGGAACTATCCTCCGAAGGATGAGCCAACCCTCCTGTCAGGGAGTCTTGCTGCCTTGGCCACTGTTGGCTCAGATTTTATACTCTATCATTTTTGTCCCAAACTCCACTACAATGTTCTTTCCAAAAACATTGATAAAGTAGGTCAGTGCTGACATTTTTCAGTATTATGCCCCTCTTCCAAAAACCCTTTTTAATCTACTTTAATTTCATGATATTCTGCTTACCTCTGTAAGAATAAATATTAGGGAAGCCTAAATATTACCTGTGTCTCATAAGGAAATAGTGCAAATATGAAACTGACCCTAAATATCTGACCATGAAAAATGGTTCCTACAAAACCAAGACAACTTCATTTCCAGAAAGGAAGCCCCTTTCTGTGACTTGTATTCACTAGTCCTCTAAAGTTACAAAGAATAAATCTAATCTGTTATTCACATCTCACACCCCTAAAGATTTAAAAACAGCTATGATGAAGAATCCCATCTCATCCTTCTTTCTGGAGACAGAATTTGAGGTCAATATTTGTCCTGTTGAGTTATGGCATGCAGAACTGAATGTAATGGTCTGAATATGACCACTCACATGGAGCACAGTGTTCCATATATTAGCTAAAGCACCGGTATAGCCATCCCCTGGAGAGACTACCAAGCCTATGATCATTTCAGTGAATATTGCCTGATCATTGTCCAAGTGTTGGCCCAGAACAGCTTTTGTAGCACCTGCATGGATTGTCAGCTGATAAGGACAATGTTCTCTTTAGCTTCCAATTTTTAGTGATCATTTTTTAACAATGTGGGTGCGATGGTCATTAGTTCATAACCTTCCTTCAAAGCCTGTCCAACTGGCATAATGAATATACCTTGCTGTTTTTAGGTAAGTATGTAGAAATACATCTGGGTGTTGGGGGTGGCACCATCACTTTGGCTCACTCCAGGAGAAGCCAGTGAGTGGTGGACTGATTTGCTGGTAGAATAACAGTGGCTCAGTCTGAGTCTCCTTTCCTGCACAAAGTGGCAAACATTTACACAAAGTGAAAATTTCCCTTCTCATGGTCAATCTGATTGGACCAACACTTTCCCAGACCCAAACTGCAGACATCAAAGTGGCTGGTTCCCATTAGACAGTTTCTCTTTGCTCAGCAATTTGGTCCTGGGGGAATGACACAGAAGAAAGAATGTTGAGGAGAAAGTGAGGAACTCTAGTTTCTTTCTACTCCCAGGTCATTTACTATCTAATTATTTCATACTAGCATCTTGTATACAGTGTCTGTTTTTATAAAATGAATCTACACTGAAGGCTTTCCAAGAGCTTTCCTAGCTCTAAAATACTTTCATACACTTTAACAGAGCAGATATTTACAGAGAACTGGTTGTGTGCAGAATGGAGTGATACAACTAAGAGGAGAAATCAACTTGTCTCATAGAACTCCAAGAACATTTTCACATTGCACCTGTAATTTAGTGAGTCGGAGGTTGCCCCTAACCAATCCTCGCGCCTCTTCAGAAGCAGAGACAGGATCCTCAAGATGAGTTCCTATCTGGATTTTCATTCCCCCTATATTATCAGTGATGGATTATGGATCAAGGGGAGACTTAATCCATAGTAAATGGAATAAATTGGGATTTTACTCACTAAATGTAAAGACCATCACAGATAGTGATATATGTGTAGACTCCATGGCTGAGCCTCAGCTAAGCAAAATGCTTTTCTGGAGATACATTTCTTATATTTATATCCATAGCATATCATATGTTTCTTGAAGGAAACGCACACACACACACACCCCTCAGCAACTTGGAAAACCTAGAAGTGGAGGAATTTCCTAATATGTAAAGCAAAAGGCACTTTCTCAAACATCTTGATTACTTTCTGTCTTCAAGCTCTGCTCCCTTCCTACAAGTTTATTTTGGGGATTCAATATTATATAACTTGTGGGGCCAAGTGCAAAATAAAAATTTGGGATTCCTTGTTCTAAAGCAGAGAAAAAACACCATTAGGTAATAAAATATAAAGGTTTTTAAAAACCATTTTATTACTTGTAAAACACAATTGAGTTTATAATTATACATAAGACTATAAACTTACAAACTGCTAAAAAAGGGTGTCATAATTTCATTTATATAATAATAAAACTTTATTATTGTGATATCTTGATTAACCATAGGATTTTTATTCCTCACTTTTCTGAAAATTAATTTATTAGGTTAACAAAATTTATACTTCTAGCAATTTCATTTTCAAGCACTGTAATTGAAAGTGATATCAGGTTCTCCCAGTAAATGCAAAATCTTAAATAGATTTTTCATCATTTCTAGCTTTGACAAGGATATTTTGCAGATGCAACTGATACTGGAGTTCTTAAGAGTATTTTACACACTGTAACAATGTTAACAAATATCATTTGATAAATTAATTGAAATATAATTTCAGTATATCTATGGTTCCCCATGAAATAATTGTTCTAAAAGTATTTAACTCTTCACACAAATCAGTTTCATATAAATATGAATTTCACTGTACATGTAAATTTATGAGTGATATTTTAATGTTTCCTCTGAAACATTAAATGTTTCCTCTGAAACATTTAATGTTTCCTCTGAAACATATAGCTTATGAAAATTATATAAGAAACTGAAAGTGGCTTCAAAATATGAGTATATGAATAGTTTTGAGTTCACTCAAAATATGAGTGGCTTTGAGTTAACAAAGCTGATTCATGTATGCTATCACTGCATCTTCAATTATAAGAAAAATTAATTTTTTAAATTATTCTCTATATTAATAATTGGTTCATTCAAAACTTCACCTGAAAATAATGCTCTTTTCCATCACGCCTCCATCTTTACACATAATTTCTATTAATATACCTAAACCTGCAGATATTTACTTTATAATATTATATCAATTATCAAGACCAGAGTTTCTAAACTTTTTGAAGAATTCTAACTCTCCAATATACTTTACTGCAACGTTCACGTTTATGATTTTATTTTGTAATATTTAGTGAAAAAGTTTACTGCCACCCACTTTGAATATCCACAGAGCACCAGACAGCCCCAGTTGGCCTGTGCCCTTGGAATGGCCTGACCAACCCTCAGGCCACAGGCTGCCCACTAACCCCATGAACCTGAGCCTACACGTACGTATTCCTGTCCTGTCCCCTGCTGCCCTATGCATCTCCTATGCTCATGCACATGCTCAGCCTCTTACCAAATACACTTACAAAACAAAGGTTCAAAGATGAAATTATTAAGAATGTCAAGGCAACAATAAGGGAGCATTGAACCAAGCACCAGACCCTTCATGAGAGCAGGGCCTGTGGGACTGCACAGGTCACAGGCCCAGGAAGCTGGCCCTGCTCCCTGCTTCACTGGAGTCGCCTGGCTTGTCTTCATCTTGGTCCTCAGGGTCCCACTTCTTCCTAGTCTGTGCCCTGATATTACCACAGAATATCTTGCAAGATTGGCATCTATAATTCTTATAATTGACCCACATGCCGGTTTAAACTTTGGGTTTTGGTTATCAGGTCTTGGTCTGTGGGCACAGCAGATAACAGTTTCTTTTAGGCTAGTTGTGAAAGCTTTCTGCTCCCTTTCCCGGATCTTAAATGATGTTACAAAATCATGAGCAATAGATCATTAAAATGCAAGGAAGACAAGAGGATTTTATAAAAACATAACAAAATGAAAATGAGATCTCCTTTAAAACATGCTGTTTAGAAATGAACAAAATGGATATTTTGGTCTGTAGTGTATGTAACCACATTGTACAACTTTATTAATGGAAATCATTTCTATTTTGTCATTCTGAAAAGTCTTCTATACTTGGTAGCTTGGAGTACATGCTGTGATGTCAGACTTCCTGAGAGTGAATCCCAACCCAGCTTCACTAGTTTAACAATCATGAGAGCTCAGGCAAGACACTTATGCTCTATAATCCTCAGTTTATTCATATGCAAAGTGA